GAGCCGAGAGCCCTTGCTCCACATAGGGACCAGGGGATAACCCGACCTCCCGCAGGGCTGGGCGTGAATGGGGAGCCAGTCCCTCAGCACGCTGCTCTGGCCCCTCTCCTCCTGGGGGGATGCCCACACAGCCCGCGGAGGGAATGCCCTCCCATAGGTTTTACCTGTTGACCTCAATGGTAGCTCTTGTAGTCTGATATGCTGTAGAGATGATCATGCAAAAACACATGTTTTCAGCAGGTTTCAATTGCTCTCAAGCAATTTGCTTGACATTGGAGAAAATTAGTGTCTTGGGATTTCTAGGTGTAATCTATGTTCAGAAAAATAAGATGCTGCAGCAAGTATAAACTTTTCCCCACTCCACCCCTCTGTTCCTTTCTGCTGTTTCCTCCCTGTCTCCATCTCTTGGTTTTGTTCTGCTCTGCTTGTTTTGTGGCTTCCCACAAGCTGTTATCCATCCGAAATGGGGCTCCAGTGAAGTCAGTGGGAGTTTCTGGATACTGGTCCTTAATAAAAAGCTACTCACTAAAATAGGCAAAGTTGCTTACTTTTAGCTATGACAGTTCTAGTCCCCATATTGTCTCCCTTTTAACAATGGGAAATTGCTAAGGGTCAAAGTTTTAAACCTGAGGTTTATTGAAATACTGGGAAGGCTGGGAGAAAGGAAGAGGTCATTTATAACACAAACATCCAAGGAAATAAAATCTAAAAGAGTAAGAGAAAAATAGATCTTAACATTTCGAGGTAGCGGTGGAAAGCTTCTGAAGGCTCTCTCTGTTTTAACTGATTGAGAATCAGCACAAAGGACGATGAAAACAGACTTGTTGGTAACAAAAGAAGGAATACTTAAATGGTTGGCCTAAATACTGAACAGAAGTCAGTAGATAAAAGGACTGCTTCAACTTTGTGGATTTTAGCTTTTTCTGGGAAAGGAATAATAGTCTGAAGTTAAAAGAAAAATAGGCTTAGACATCCTGTTTTGAAAAATCTTTGGAAAATTAATGAGTGTTCTAAAATAAATGAACCATATTATGGATCAAACACTTGTTTTCAGCCATTGTTTCAGAAGATTGCAAATCTGGAAAGTGTTTGTATTTAGTTCCAAAGTGTTTTTAACATTGGCAAGATGAAAGATGCTGAGCTTCGAAAATTACTTTATTCTGAATACCATCTTGCTTTTTGCCATTTGATTTTGATATCTTAACAAATAGAAGTAAAGATTGATGATGTATTCTAAAATTTTGCTTTGAAACTTTGTTTTGAAGCTTTGGATTATTAATGGAAAAAAATATTAGTGTTGAAGGGAGATACTCAGACAAGGCAGAGAAGGAATTTAGTAATCCAGTTTACCTGATTCTATTTTTAAGTCTGGTGCCCGTATTCATGCTTTAGAACAAATTTTTAAGGAATGGAAAGTCTTCTTTCCTTTGGCATCCCTTGTTATGGGCACTGTCTGTTCTTTCCTGAGCTGATAGACTCTGCTGTACAAATAGTCTGCATAGCACTGCTTTGGTAGTATTGCTCTGATTAAGTACAACAAATTTCAGATTATGGACGAGCATAATTTTAAATTCTTAAAAGAAACTAACCAGAATATCCAGGCAAACAAGGAGTAAGCATCTCAGAAACAAAATTGTACGATGAAGGTGTTAGTTCATTACATTGCCAGGACCTTAGGCAAGGGACTAATTCTTACTTGCCCTGAAGCCTGGCTCTACTCAGGTAGGTAGATGAATATAAAGAGCATTTCAGAAACTCCCTGCACTGCTGAGCAGTATAAAGGTTCCAGAGTCCTTATAATTGGGAAGCTTGGCCAAGAAAGTATAGAGTAAAAGCATGCGCTAGTAGATTCAGAGTAAAAGCCAAAGAAATAGTTACTATTTCCTTAATCCCATGTTCTCAGAGAAGATGCATTCTCCTTTGGCACATAGAAAACTTTGTTTTTCAGTTTTATAAGATGATGAGTTTTAAAAAACAAGCTTCACCTTTGTCAGAGTGACTGTACATCTGTCTTATAAACCTTAGGAACACACTTCAAAAAACCTAGCCCACTAAAAAGATTCTGAAGCTGTGGAGACACTAAAATTTTATTATCTGAGACTAAAAATCTGGAAACTCTTTCTGCTCATTTTGAATATCCAAATAGTCAATGTTCAAATTTCATAGGTCTCCCTTTTTCCCCTTAATATATTTCAAGGCTCACATTGTCCATAATGATTCAGCAATCAAAACCAATTACAAATAAAACATTGTACTGTTACTGCTTGCAGACACTTTTATTACAGGCATAAAACAATCTTAGATAATGAAAATTCTTGCTTATTAACATGAGGCTGCTTTCATATAAAACCTTGCACTCTATAATGTGTTTAAACTGGCAATTTGATCTGAAAGCATTCTTTATCTTCTCAGACCCTCATGGGACTGGATGGCATGTAGGAATATTTGCAGGCAGTATGTTTGATTGTGCTGATTATTCTTTACAGATAGGTTTGATTACTAAATTGAAGTTAAAGTGAAGTTAAAAAAAGAACCAAAAACCTAGAGGAAGGTGAAAGGTTTGTGGTCACATGGTGTGCCATCATGTGCTGCACTTCAGCAGTTTGCTAAATACCCATCTCTATGCCAAGAAATGTCTATGCCCATGAAACAGGACTTTCCAGTTACTCCTGTGCTTCTCTTTTCTCCATGAAAGCACATCTCTTTCCAGTACCACTATAGATTTGCAGATGGCAGATGAATGGATGAAACGTGCTGAGCAAATCCAGAGAGACTCCACCATAAGCACCGGTGCCTAACCTCTCCCATGGACTTCCACAGCGCAGTCAGGATTATCCCTCCGGGCTCCCAGAGCTGTTCCCATTTGAGGAGAGGACCAGGCCAGACGCCACTGCCTGCAGCCACAGCACACAGCCTGAGAGGGTGCCGTGGGCTACACCAGCAGGTCTCATGGCAGGGAAGATCAGGGAGTAAAAACTGCAGGAAGCGCTGAACCTTACCCATGGTGTAAAATCAGCTGCTGGGAATTGGAAGTCCTTCACTGTTTACAAAATTAGACTATTACTGTCCTAAACCTCTTTAATACATTAAACTAACCAGAGGTGGAGTCAAGCCCTGGCACTCCTAACTCTCTGTGCCAGAGCTCTGAGGTAGCCCCAAGTGGGAAATGCCAATTTTTCAAGCAAATGCCTGTGTCAACTGCATGCTGCATTCCTTACTGCACACTGCAGTCTTCCACTGATAGAAGTAGCTATGGGTGGACTTTTCCCTTGGTTCTGATTTCTGTGTTGTTGTGGAAAAAAGAACACCAACAGTAGCAAGAAGTGTGGCTTTCAAATGGTTCATCTGAAAAAGGCGGGTCATTCCCATCACACAATGATGTGTCCATAAGCCTACAAAAGAGGGAAAAGGGAAACGGTGGAGAAGGGACAGAGCAGAGAAGATTGAATGCATCAGCAGTCGTCCTCAGTCTGGGGTAGGCTACCGGTAGCTTACAATGTCTAGCATTTATCCCAGTCCGTCAAAATCAGTTTGGCACTTGGGTTTCATCCTTATGTAGTAAAGAGCAACTACGGCACATTACAAAGCTTCCAGTCACCACCACTGAATGCAAGACATTTTTCACAGCTGTTTCTCTCTGAAGAGTTGCTTAATGTAATTCTCTTCAGAGTAACTGTGTTGGTTTCATGTTTCTGTTGTCATTGCTAAAATCAGAATGAATCTTCCAAGGGTATCTAGTGCAGACTTTAGACTGTGCATTGAAAAAACATGCTGAGGAAGACATAGAACAAGTCTTACTACTATCTAAGTCTTAGTATTTTCTTATTCAGTACCCAGGGGCCATAAACAACTGCCTAGGGAAGAGTAAAATTAGAGTAAGCATATGTGATACTTCACCCAAATTCTCTGCCAATCTGCACGTGCTTTAAGCTCAAGCAAGGGGTTTCCTGAACCTCTTGTGGTTTGTTGATGAAGTAATCTTCAACAGATTTCATTTCAACATACGTTTTTGGTCCCCCCCTGAACCTATATAAATATTTTGCACCCACATCATCTTTTCCAAGGAATTCCATGTCACACAACTATCTTTTGCCTGAGGAAACATCTCCAGATTGTTCTGAACCTGATTCCTGCTAGCATCATTTAATGACCTATATTCTTGTACTGGAAGAGATGTGGAAGAGTTAATCCCTATCCCCTCATTCCAAATAATCATGACTTTTTAGGTCTCTATCGTATACCCCCTCGGTCATCTGTTTCCAGGTTGAAAAGTCAGTCATTCCATACCATTCCTTGTTGCCCTTCTTTGATTTTTTCTACCTTTAATAAATATACCCTTTTATAGGTGAGGGTGTCAACTACATTCCATACTCAAGCTGTAGGTGTACAACAAGACCTATACAGTAGCAATGTAATGATGTTCTCTCTTTTGTCCTCTTTTCTCTTTCTAAGATTTGATTTCATGTTGTCTTTCCCTGGAACTGTCCATCACAACCCAAAGACCTCACTCCTGAGGGCGGATGATCACCTCTGAGCGCATAATTTTGTATGGTGGGCTAGGGTTGTTTATCCTCATGTGTGTCACTTACAATTGTCTATACTGTAAGATTACCAGGATGAGGAAGTAATCAGAAGAACATTCCTCTTGTGTTATTATCCAGCAGGCCTGACAGACAGTCCTGCATGTTATGTTCACAAAGTGTTTGCTTTTCGTATCCATTCATCGGTGAATGTTAAGCAGGCTGTAGGAAGCCGTTCCTGATCAGTGCATTTTGGCAAACATCAGTAATGTCTTGTACACAAGGAGAGCAGATGTCACATTTTACAAAAGCTTGAGTTGACAAGACCTTTCTAAAGCTGCTTGTAATGTTGATCTTCAGAAAGTACAAATACTGCATATAAAAAGCTGAGTCCTCTGAGGTGCTGAGTGTCTTTTGCAAGGTGCTCATGAATCCCAAGTCCTCTTGGGAATCAAGGATGCTCAACATCCTTGTGAAGAAGTGTTGGGTACCTTTCAGGAACTGATTCCAAAATTGCAACGCAAAGCCTTTGCTTCCAGGTGTTATTTCTCCTACTGGAAAATGCAAGGTGCTATTAATAAAGTCAAATCAACCCAAAAAAATGGCATGCTAAATCATCTCTGACAGTTGTTTAATTATTACTGAGCACCTGTTGGTTTTTGCGATGGCACTGGAGCAAATAAATTCAACTAAAGGAATAAAAAAGGCAATCTTCAGTGAAGACAAAAGGCAAAAGTAATGAAAGAATTAGATTCATTACCAGATCTCAGAAGAGTTTCCCTAAATTTCCTATGGAGTAATGTAACAAAAAAATTAACAATATTATCAGTGAAGGAAACATACCACAGAGAGTGATGATTTTGGTACTCACACAAATCTGAAGATGGTATTTGAAAAGGGGGAACCTAAAACCCTGGCTTACCTCAAATCATTTGGAGTCTTTTAGTATTTTGAGTCTGAACTTACTTGTAGTGCAGCTTTCCCCATCTGTGGAGGATGGGTAATTAGACAAGATTTGAAAGTAGGTGCGGATAGAAGAACTGCCACTGGTGGCAGGGCGCAGCAGGAGCCTTGCCGTAGCATTAGGACATCTTGGGGCCTCTCCTGGCCTGGCTGGTGTGCGCGCTCTGCTGCGGCTGAAATCCCACGTCTCGTCTGAAGCCTGAAGAGAGCAGCTATTCAGCCTTGGCACCAGCCTCAATTAGAGAAAAGTAAAAAACCCTCAGCCGTCAGATGTTCATTAATGAAGTGCCATTGTCTGTATTTATGGTTGTTTTTAGTGTTATGGCAGTTGCACTGTTCAGGGTTTCTTGACTAGAAGAAATGTTTAGATGGTGACTCCGGCTTTGTCAGAAGAAAAAAGGGGACGGGGAGGAAGGCTGGAGAAGAGATGTCATGCAGCACTCTTCTAAGCATGACTTTATTCTGATTCTTTCATTCTCTTGTCAGGTGCTGGGTTCGATGGAGTGGAAGAAATTAAACGTCACCCTTTCTTTGTTACTATAGACTGGAACGTAAGTGGAGCAGCATTTTTTTTTTTTTTAATTATTTTTCTTAGCTAAATTTTTGAAGACAAACTGCCATGATTAGAAAAAAGATGAAGTGAGCTCTGACATAGAGAACCTAGGAGCTAGAGACTTCTAAGTGAGTGCCTGTGTCTCTTGCATACATATATACATTTGTTCACATACCCACAAATGAAGGAAACAGAAAGCTGCTTTCAGCATTGCCAATTTTTTCTAACTGCTTGACTCTGTTTTGTCTGATGGTCTGGCTTACCACCTGAGGCTATTTGTAGTGTTCTGCAGAATAATTTCCCCATTCAGCTCTAATAAACATGATGCACTGATTGTGGGAGCTGGACTGGAGTGAAAATGAGCAGCTTTAAATGAAAGAATTCCTGTAATATTTCAATCACAAAGGAAACCAGAGCCAAAGGACTGGGCTTGAAAAAGATACTCCAGAGGGAAGCGATCTGATGCTCTAGGTCCTTCCATCTTTCTGCTTTTATGTTCCATATTGAAATACTTGTCCCTTCTCACTGGGTCGGGCAAGCTAGACTAAATGCTAGTTTTATTCTTTCTGATATCAGGGACCTCCAGGAATCCTTTTCCCTCTTGAAATTATTCGGAGCAGCCCCAGCTTTGCTCTTACACATATCTGCTGACAGTAGCTCCAAGGAGCTCCCAGACCTCCAGACCCTTTTCCCAAACACTGTGTGGAGCTACTGGGACTGGCTGGGTATCGGTAGAGCTGGTACAGCCAGCTGTACAGCAGGTTGTGCTACTTTATGCTGGGGGAACCATAAATCTTCCAACAGGATATCTTTGTTGGCCCCTTCTTGTCACTTTTGGCCTAAGTGACCATAGGACAGGATCTGGCCCTTGCACTATATTGCAGTGGGGGCTGCAGAAAAGCACAACATAGATGAATTTTCAGAAGAGTGATTTTACATCACTGAGTATACAAGTCAACCAGACAGAACAGGAAACAGCAACTCCTCTTACAAGTGGTTGATGTTTTATTGAGGTGAGTCATTAATTTAACATCAGCACTCAAAATTGGAACAGCAAACATTTGATCAAATGTAACATGGTTCAAATGAGACCTGTTGGACATGATTCACAGAATTGTAAGGATTTATTTTATTGCTATCAGCTACAGCTCATGAAGCTGGAGGTAGAGATTAGCTAAATACTCAATTTACACTTGCAACAGATTAAACCTTCTCACATTTTCAGCATCATATTTGTTCAAATCGACTAATTTTTAGACAAACCGGGGGTCAAACACTTTTCGTTCTTCATCTGGACATCTGCCAATGCATCAGAGCTCCTGTTTGCCACATCCTCTAGAATTTTCTAGTTTAATTTTATCTGACCTGTGCTATGGTATTGTTATGTATCTTTAATATTTGATCTGAATTCACTCATGAATGCTAGTGTAACAGGTCACATTGATGTAGTCCTCACTATGAATTCTGGTAAACCAGCATGAATATATGTGACAGAGCCATTCTCAAACCGCTGCCCGGAGCTTTACAGTAAAGCTAACTCCTCTGTGAAAGCACGCTTTGTGGTGCCCAGGTGGCCTTTGAAAGGCCCACAGAATCATTTATTTTGGAAAAACTTGTGAATCTAATTTGAATTGCATGTTGAAGAGTTGGCATGACTCATAAGCATGTTAAGAGGTGATCAATGAAAGTGGAGTCTGAGATTTTCCTTTATGGCCCAGCTGACTTTTAGTCCCATTACATATGTTCTGGAGACTAGATTCTCTTTCCTCTTCTGCTTCTTACTAATCATGAGATTCTGTATAAAGACTTTACATTTATGAAAACATTAAGTGAAAAGAAAAAATTGAGAATACTGAAGAGTTGGGTTCTTTATTATTATTATTTTCTGTATTCCTTTGATATCTCCTCAGTCCTCAGCTTTTGCAGTCAAAATACAGGTCAGGTGCATACGTCAACATAATAAGGAACACTGGAGCAGTGAGGGGGTTTCTCTTTCTCCTGTGTTTGCTAGAGGAGGAGCTCAGTAACTCATCACAGAGAAATGAGGCTCTGCATCTTGGAAAGGTTTTCAGCGAAGTCAGTTCTGGACTGTGAGACTCCTCAAGACCACCTTCTCTCATGATGATTGGTGATTGTTTCAAGCTCAGTTCTTTAGGGAACAATTTCGTGCCTGTCCTAAGGAAATTGTACAGTCCTCCATCATTTGAAAAAGTTCTTATGGATGGGTTCAGGCAATATCTACCATGAAGAGGCTAGGTATGCTTGAACATGACTTGGAGCTAGAGAGGAAGGTGGATTGAATTGCCCTTTGATGTCTTATCTAGCCCTCTAACTTTGCTGTAAAATGTAGCTGTAAAGACTCATTTTAATCGAGCATAATTAGTGCTTATTGTACTCTCTTGGAGACGGATCATTATTACACAGATCAGCTATCATCTTTGTAATATATTTTCTCATTTAATCCTAATTTTACTGTCACTCATGGAGATCTTAGGAGGCTTATCTAGTTACAGCAGCAGTGTTGTATGCATTTCAGAGCGGTGTGAGCCAGGCTGGCCCTGAGCTGAAGCCAGGACTTTGCCTTACAGTGATCATCCAACCAACTGCTAACATGTTCTTCATGGACAGAAACAGACGAGGGTCAAAGAACAGAAATGGATCGGGCACAGATGTTTAGTGCTGATCTCTGTACTGTTGCAGGAAGAAGAGTCCCTGATGCCCTCATTTTGTTCTTCTATCACATATACAGAATCTCTTGCATCGACTTGCAGGCAGTCAGCAAACAACACTGTAGAGGCAGGACATGAACGTTGATTTATTTTATATCTTGGTAATATAAAGACCTCAGAAAGCAAGAGGCAAGCTCTCTTGGAGAGCTTCTGAACTACCTTGGCAGCTATGATAGGCAGAACTGCTGCAACTGACAGCATAGAAACTTTCAGCAACTGTAGGAAAGTGATCCTCCATCAAGAGCCCCCTTATCATGAAAGGTCAGAATGCGTTAGTGTCTTCTAGAAACCCAGTGTGAAACAGGTCTTTTTTTAAGCAAGATTTTTCCTACAAGAGTGACGTGATGACCAAGAACAAACCGCCAAGTTGCTTCATCTCAGTTTAAAAGAGATTCAAAGCAGAAATGAGAGTTAGATGCTTCCTTCCAAGTTGTGTGTCAAGTCTAGATATCACAGTGATGAAGTCATTAGAATCGCAGACAGAAATGTATAAATTGGATCATCACATCAGAGTACTGCCAGAGCTGTTCCCTTGGGGTTTGGATCGGGGCTTGGTTATTGTCTGTGTCACTGAAGTGTTCACCTGTTGGAGCAGTCATTTCCCACTTGTTTCCCATCTTTCACTGGCTTCAGACAGACACAACCAGACAGTGTCTGGTTCAGATGAAGGCAGCGAACACAGTGGAAACAACATACACAGTGTAAAAAAGCCCCCCTATGATGCTGTAGATGCTCATGCCAAGCACAGCAGTGCTGATAGCGTATGACCACTGCAATAGATGCAATCCTGGAAAACATGAGTGTGGCCAGAGAACGACCGTCCTCCTCCCATCCTTTCCTACAGCTGCTTTACGTCATTCCCATGTTCCAGGGTGCCATTCTTCAGCACAAATCTCCAGCCACCCGAAGTTTAACTTTTGGTGTATAAGCAGCACTAAGTGAACTGTGGACAATCTGACACAGAGTTTTTGTGCCCAAGTTTAAATTGTGGCCTGAGCTAATCTCTGTAAGAGTCTCATTTTTACAGCTGTTGTCACCCAGTAGCAAAACCCTAAATTCCCAGTTCCCAGGGTGAAAAATATATGGTTTCTGCAAATATCAGTCTTACTGCTCTAAGGCATTTAGTAGGCACTGTGACGCAAATTCAATAGATCCTGTGTTAAATGGATGGACTGTCTTTCATGATCAAGGCTGGGATTCACAGGAAGGAGATCAGATGTCGAGTTCCTTCTGAGTTTCACTTGCTTACTACCCTCGCACCCCCTTTTCTCCCTAAGACAAGCAGACCCAAACCGAGTTGACCTCAGATAATTTCAGTCATTGGCTCTGAGAAAGCACAGTCTGGTTCCTGACTTTTTTATTACTGTTTCTTCTTTCCAGGTCATGCATAAAGAATTCTTGGCTTTTCATTAAAAAAGAAAAATGAAATCCCTTTTTGCAGACTGCAGTCAGAGGATTGAGCTATAAACAGTAGTTTTTGTTTAGATGACAGGCTAAATTGGAACTAGAGCAAATGACATGCTAGAAAATGAACTGTCAAATACAGCTGAGGGAAGGAGTGGGAAGAAAGTAGACTCAAGTTCTATTTCCTTCAATATTAATCAGAGATCAAACTAAACAGAAAATGTGAATTATTTAATTGCAGATCTTACCAACAGCAAAAATTGATCCCAAGGTCTGAATTCTGCTAGCTTTTCTATCATTTGCAGGCAATAACGTTGAGCCATTAATCTAGGAGAGGACAAACATTTTAGAAGGTAGTTCATCCTTTCGTCTGCTTATTGGATTTTCCATGACAGGTATATGTATCAAGGGAGTTTATTCTCACACTACAAGTGCGTCACTGTGGAGGGTAGCATCTTTCTGTTTCTAGAAGATGTCTAAGGAATAAGTCAATTCTTCATCAAAGAAACTCAGTTGAGGAAATGACTAAATATTTTTTAGTTAAATCAAACCATTTTCTTTTTCTTTATATTTGCCAGGCACATGTACAGGGCATTTACATCTCTGGGGTTTTTTAGGAGTGCATTTTTTTAAAGATGATGAAAAATTAACTGCTTATAAATAACAAGAGACAGATGCATGTTGCAGCATTTTGTTACTAGTCTCCCTGGTGTATTACTTGAGTCCCAGCTGAGGAGGTGTTCACATGAAGCTCATATCAGGGATCTGGCAACATACATTAAGAAAAGGTCATTGGGACCTGGGGGAAAATTACTTATTTCAAAAAAAAAGGTTTTTGTTCCAAATCAGAAAGGAAGTTGATAAAAGCTCGTAGTTTCTCGAACTGCTATAGAACTGTGTTCTAGTTAATTCGTAGGTACTAATTAATCTGAAGGTACTGATTATCAAAGTCTCAGAAGGATGTGAGGGGTTGATAAGTAGACAGAAGCATGGGTATGTATTCAGGTGTGAATATCTAAATCAGTACTTTCACACCTTGGAGTTCATCGCCCTCATTCTGTGGATTATGCACTCCCTCTGCACAGCCTCTGGATCCGACAGCCATGCATGATGAAGTGATTCCTGATACCTGTCAGTCACATTTTTCTGTGACAAGTCTATGTTGTGGCCAGTTTAAAAAAATGGGGGTGGGATGTGAGGGGTTATTCTTTACTGGGAAAGAGAGAGAAATTACATTCTCAATAAAACATTAAGGGCTAAGGAATACATTTCTTCTTTACGGATATGGAAGCAATAGGGTAGAAAAAAAAAATCTTCAGCTTCTTATACCCATGCAACGTAACACACGTATAATGATCTTAAGCACCCAACATGAAATTATAATACTCCAGTTAGCACTAACATACCCAAAGTCTCTTTTGAATGCCTAATAAGATGCCCCAAAATAATAATTTGGATATGAAAACTGGGTTTTAAACTGGGACAACTGAGACATTGTTCACATTAAAATACATGGAACTCCCAGTGGCTTCTGCATACAGAGCCAGGATTACCATGACTTGGGATGTAAATAACTGTTTAAACTTTACCAGCAGTTACATGACAGCCTGGTAGAAATGGTCAAAGACAAGATTTGAAACTTAACTTGCTATGTCATTTGCCACTCTGGTAGTTGGTTGGAAGAGATCAAGGTGATCCATCAGCCCCAAATAATTTTGGGACCACGGTAAGAGATAATAGGTTAATACATTTCACCTAAAATCAGAACTATTCTTGGAAAATCCAGAAGGATCTCAAATCCTCCAAGACGTTTGTTCTCTGTGTGTATAGAAAACAACGGCTGTGATTCTTACTGTTTTCTTTGATCAGCTTGTGTCACATTGTGTTTTGCAGTCTACAGGATGCGGGTTTTCAAAGGAAGAAGCATTCTGCCTGTAGCAAGTCTTCATGTTTAACTGTGTCGGGCTGCCCTGAGGTTTAGTTTGCTTCAGTGAATTGGCTTTGGTTGTAGTGGCTCACTCAGAGAACTGGAGCCAGTGTGGGATGGGAAAGTCCACAGATGACACTGCTCTGCTTGTTCTTGTTCCTCAAAGATTTCATTTAGTTACCTGATTCAAGAGCTTGGGAAAAAAAAATGGTTTAGGCAGTTTACATTTTGCTGTTGCTAGTTGTCTAGTCAGAAACACCAGAAATAATTTTTATCACAAGTGGAAAAGGAAATGGAAAAGGGAGTCATCCGGATTGCACTCAGAGGAGGTGCCTTTCACTCACACAAGCAACTTCTTTGTTTCCATCCCCTCCCAGCAAGCGAATTTGTGATTACACATCTTTAGGTGGCGTGTGAGTCATGATGAATCTTAAATCCCTCCCTAGTAGTGGAGGATGTGGGTTAGGGATTCAAAATACAAATGTAGCTCCAACAGCACTTAAGAAACTACAGATGGGGGGAGGAATTAAGAGGCCAGGGAGAATATGGTTACGATAATCAAAAGAGAGTGCAGTTCCCAAATGATGTACGACTCTAAAACGTGTTCCAATTTTTGGACCTCACAGGATGAGGGGTGCATTTAATTCAAGGAGGAAGCATGTGCGTGTGACCATATTGCTTTCTGCAATAGAAGGACTGCAGTTATGAATTAAGACAAATAAAGGGAAGCTGGAAGCAAATAGCTTTCTCAAGGTGAAATCCTAGCAACACACAAACCTTCAGTAGGTGCCGAGTTCTCTTTTAAAGTTCTGTGCAGACAGAAAAAGATGTATGTTCATTACTAGGTTGATACTTTTCAGTTGATGAGTGACACTTCCTGCTTAGAGATTGCAATTGGCTTTTAATTATTTGGAAGACTGGCTTTCCATTGTGGCTCACAGCAATTATTCATCTCTTTTTCTCTCAGAAGATATGGAGCAGTTTTACGCAAGCAAGAACTTTTTATGATGAAATGGCCATTAATTGTTGGAGAGTCGTTTCCAGCCTCACCATTCCACTTTTCCAAGGAATCATAATTCAACCACAAACATATGCTTTATGCTAATGCTAATACTATGCTACAGAATGTCCTGTCTGAAGAACCTTTATTTATCTATGCAAAATCAAACTCAAATTATGTTGATGTGTATATATATCTTAGGTTTGACCACATGCTTTGTATTACAGAAGTTGAGTCACCACAAAACCCACAGTTAAAGAGAATCTTCCTGCATGCAAAGAGCTGGACAAGCATGTATTAAACTCCATTAAATATTTTGAAAAAGTCAGCTCATTATAAAGTTGTTTTAAGAGCTAACCTGAAAATACATATTACAAACAGTCATAAAATTGAAGTCTCCAGCTCTTATCATGACTTGAAAGTTTGAATGAAACATTATATTTATGCTCAGACATGTTAATTATTAGGCACTGTCTGTGGCAACTAATTCAGCCCTTTGAAACCTGAGAACAAAAGCATTGCTAGAAAGGGAATGCAGTCTAGGGACTGAAACATGGGGCAGAGAGTCAAACTGGAGCTCTGTTCCCCATGCCGCCATCAGCATGATGTTTGGTTTTGGCCAGTTCAAGCAGAGATGATGCAAAGATAGCTGAAATCAATAGGACTCTTTACATTAACCTCTGTAGGCTTTGGGTCAGATCCAGGCATGCTGCACCTCAGTTTGTTCACCTTCCAGAGTGTGTGTGCATGTGCGTGTCTGTGTATGAATGCTTGCAAAGGAGCACAGTGAAGCAATTTCTTAAAGGTTGCTAAGTATGAGTAAAGAGGCCATGAAGTCCCTGGTAATAAAGGCAGTGTATTAGCATGCATTTATGGTGACTGTTACTTATGTGATCCCCTACGTGCACCCTCACTCGCCAGCACAAACACACACCTAGCAGTGCTTACCTGTTACATACCTTCCTCTCTTCCTTATGTTTTTCCTTGGTTTTGCTCCTCTGCTCCAGCCACGGTTAGGCCTTCAACATGATTCCCCACCTATCCACAGTGCTTTCTTCCTAACATCTTTTGATGGCAATTTCATCTAGTCCTCAGCTGTAAGCCCCTTCCCTTTTACCAGATATGCCAAAAGAACAAGTCTCTTGTTTAGGTTGTGAGCACCAGGCAGCCAGGCCTGTTGCTCAGCTCAGTCTGGCAGACTGTCAAACATATTGCTAGTTCCTGACAAATAATAAATGCTAAAGCAGCCACCGCTTCCTAGCAGTTCTTTATGCTCATTGCCATTGCTGCGCTGCTGAAGTCGCCCATGCGCAGTTTCCTGGTGTTACCATTGCACGTTCCAGTCCTGCCCTTCAGACCAGTGAATTTCCAGATGCCTCAGCTGGAATACTGTGCCAATCTACGGGCTAAATTTTTACCAGAAACATCTGTGTTTATATTCTGGATTCCAGTAACTAAAACATTCAGGGACCATCCAGGGCACAGGTTTTAAGCCAACCGGTCAAGCAGGAGCCAGAGCTACAGATACATCATCCTTTTTTGTCAGTCCTGCAAGGACAGCACAGAGCTGAGAGGACAACCTAAACAAAGTGGGGGAGCCTATCTGCAGATGCTGAAGGTGTACAGATTGTTGTTGATTGTGATCTGTTCTTCTCCTTGTAGAAACTATACAGGAAAGAAATCAAGCCGCCTTTCAAGCCCGCAGTGGGACGTCCAGAAGACACCTTTCATTTTGATCCAGAGTTCACATCTCGGACCCCCACAGGTTAGTAAGGTGGCACATAGGTAATGCATCTTTTCAGTGAGTAAATTCGTTCGTCCTTCCCCTCCCCATTCCAACAGGGTCTAAAAGTCTGATCACCTGTGGGATTACTGGGTTTTGCAATATCCAGCAGGAAGCAAAGACTGTTTTGCAGTTCTAAGAGAAGAAGCTCGTAAGCATTTACCTGGAGTACTGCGTCCAACCTGGAGTACTGCGTCCAGCTCTGGAGCCCTCAGCATAAGAAAGACACGGACCTGTTGGAGCGGGTCCAGAAGAGGGTCACGAGAATGATCGGGGGATGGAACACCTCTCCTATGAAGAAAGGCTGAGAGAGTTGGGGTTGTTCAGCCTGGAGAAGAGAAGGCTTTGGGGAGACCTTATTGCAGCCTATCAGTACTTAAAGGGGGCTTATAAGAAAGATGGCGACAAACTTTTTAGCAGGGCCTGTTGCGACAGGACAAGGGGGAATGGCTTTAAACTAAAGGGGGGTAGATTCAGACTAGATATAAGGAAGACATTTTTTACGCTGAGGGTGGTGAAACACTGGCACAGGTTGCCCAGAGAGGTGGTGGATGCCCCATCCCTGGAAACATTCAAGGTCAGGTTGACCGGGGCTCTGAGCAACCTGATCTAGTTGAAGATGTCCCTGCCCACAGCAGGGGGGTTGGACTAGATGACCATTAGAGGTCCCTTCCAACCCAAACTATTCTATGATTCTATGATTTCACCAACTTCACATTAATTTGTCTTCAGGAAGGACAGATTTCATATTTTAAATAAGAAAAATAACTGTTGATTTGCTATTTTATTACTCTTATTGTTGCTTACATTAGCTGAATTTAACTGTTTTAAATTACCTCAGCTTCAAAGAACTTTGCATCTCTGCAGGTTAGTGTATAATTATGTATTCCATAGCTGTTTTCTTTAATTATGAAATCCTATAGACTATGGACTGTTGGAAGTTAATACATCGTTAACAGTAATGAAGAATCATCAAGTTCTCAGATCAGTGGAGTTATGCCAACAGGAAATTTGGCCCACAATATTTATAAAATCCTTGCAGTGAGAATGTTGTTCATATAATTTCTATTTCCTAACAGGAATATCACACTTTGTGCACTATGTATATGAAGGTGATTGTTGCACAAAACACCACCTTTCCACTCTCTTAGTTGAAAGCAAGAGTATCAATAACCTTACAGTTGTAATCCCAGTTATAATGTTGCCTCTTGCTAGACATGGATAAGCTACATTACATTTCTGCCTGTGATATTCCTGTGTGAAGAAGTATCTGTTTATACATCCTAAAATGTAAAAATTTAATTAGCTGCTGTTTGAAGACCACTTTGAAGATAGTAAGCACTGTAAATATCACATAGTATTGATGTAATAACCAAGTATAAGGTCTCAAGCTTCAACCCTCAAATTGCCCCAGAACTGTTGCAGTGAGAGTAAAAGATCTGAGCTTTCATTACAAAAACACCTGCGTTATAGCACATGAATTAGAGCTGAGATTTTCTGTAGTTTTCATTCAGGCTCATCATGACCTTCAGCCTTTTTCTTAAAACTAGCCCAAACCTCTGTTCAAAGCCTGGTTCAAACCTCCTTTCATGGGGTATGAAATAGTGGTATCTACTCAAAATCTTTTATCAGTCTTAGTTCCTAGTTTTTTTGGTAAGGATGTGCCGACTTTCACAAGCTATAAAAATATTACACTCTGGTTATTTGTGTCCAACTGGAACATCCACCTGTCTCCAGTATATGTTAGTCATGTTCTGATATTCCTATCCCACTGCATGGAAACAAATGGTCTTTGGATACCAGACGTTTCACACCTTTGATTTTAGCTTTAATTCGGATTTCAGAGGAACTCATTTCTCTGGAATATTGGAGACTGCAAGTTAGTCTGATCTTGAGAGAAGTGCAGGCTGGTGCTGCCCTGGAAAGTCTCAGAGAAGCATTGAGAGTTTGGATTGCTTTGAAAGTTCACACTTCATTGGTTGTGCTGGCGTGAAAATCGTTGTACTTCATGCATGTGCTAATGCCCAGGGTTATATTTTACACTCTACATGTTACTACTGTTGCCTAATTCAATTTGATATCTCATGCAAGACACTGACTTGCAAGGTTTGTTTTGGGGTGGTGGCTGGGGTGGGGAGATGGCCTGCCTCAATTCTGCTTCATGCTATTATGAAAAGTGGCCTGAGAATCAAACCCTGTCATTACAAAATAGGTGTAATCGGAAGTGTGAATCCCTTTACACTTCCAGAGTGGTAGAAAAGTCCTCACAAGAGAGCATCACAAGAATGTTTAATACTGGCTCATATTGCAAGTGGAATCAAACAAGAACCTCTTTTATTCTGTTTTTTGTCATGACATAGACCCCATACAAACTTACCCTGTTACTGAGAACGTACCCAGACAGCAAGCACTGTAATAATTCCTGTTTCATGATGATAATGCAGTCATTGTGTTTTAATGAAGATGTCAGAAAGATATTACCAAGGAGGGGGCACAGATACATACAGTCATTTTGCACTCTGCCTTTATGAATGAGTTCTCCTCCCTGGAAACAGGTTTATATCAAAGTTTTGGATCCAGTAACTTGCCAATCCAGTGATTTGCTGTATCTCAGAAAGTTTCTTTAGCCTGGAGGTTGAAACAGCTTTCTGTGGATTCCTAACCTCAGCTCTGAGTGCACCAAAGATGTGGTTTCTGACACTGACAGTTCATCTCTATGGGTGTGATCTCTCACATCACTTTTTCTCAGGGATTCGTCTCAGTTGGAGTCGCTTTTTCTGGCCACTTGTTTCCTAAGTCCACCCTGTGGACCCACATCTCATTTGTGCTGACTCAGCTCCTCACAGGGAGCGGGAGACTGAAGCAATCCAGATTATAAATGGTGGTTTGAACAAGGATCAGACTAAGATCATTCTGGTGATCCAACTTAGATTTCAGTCCACAAATGTTTGTACTGTTGTAAGTGATGGGGCAGCATGCTGTAACCAGCAGGGACGTCTTACGCTGGCTTTACTGCTGAGAAAAAATATGTAAAATTGCACCTGAAGTATCTAAATTTCCTCCTGTGCAAATAAGATAACATTTGCTAACCCCAGTGAAGCATACTGAAGTAAATTACTTAAGATTTATGAAGCCTTTTAAAATCCTGTAAAATTAGATGCTCTAGTGGGACAAAGCATTATGACTTTCACAGGGAGAAAGATAACCATTATACAAGATTGGTGTTTGCAAGTGGGTCTAATTCAGACATATGAAATGATTCTGGATTTATCCAGACTAGGAAAATTATTTAGGTTTCATAGCTATGATTTAAACATAATTTTGCACTTAACACAAGTGTTTTAACATTTAATTCATACCATGGGCATATCAGTTGGTGGTGATGAATATTTAATATTGAACACCAAATAATCAGTAGTTCTTCTACAGTCTTTGATAAAGAGATTGGCAGTGAATTATGAAGGAACAGTTATTTTTAGAGATGACCTAGCACTTACGTTTTAGAGCCGGATCATGGCTTTTCTGAAGTTCAGGAGTGTTCAGATTTGAATTATTGTCATTCCTTTTTTAAAACAAACATCCTTTCCTCTTAATCCTTTCCCTCTTGGAAAATCACTGTTGTATATATGCCATTGTAAGAAGTACCCAGTGATGCAAGAGGTCTGGTGTGATTCATCCATGTATTTGCAAGGGGAGTGCCCACCAATACACTGAGATAAACAAATAGCCCACGTCATTTTACCAAAAGACAAGCTTCTCCACGTACTTTGCAGTGAGGTCTGACTTGCTGTGGTTATTTCTGACTCCTGTCAAAGCTGAGGCAGCTTTGTAATGAGATATAGAATTAGCTTCAGTCTCAGTTTTGTTTATTTCCGAGCAGATAATTTGTTTTTACCATATTCTGGCTTCAGACCCTCTGTTCATTTGAGCAGTAGATTTATACAGGGAATGTCCACACAAGGAAATACATTCTCAAACATTTTCAGGACCTCAAGCAATATTCGGTCTTCCATGCCATTGCACTACACACTAATGGATGATGCTGATGGTGTAGGCAGGTAAGTGAGATATAAGGTCCAGTGGGGATGTATTTTCTTTAGTGAAACTGGGTATTCACTCACTTCATACAAGGAGATAGCTTTCTAAAGGAAGTTTAGCTCTGTAACTTTGCTATGGTAAATCACATGTTGCACTGGAGGAAATGTGAAGGGGAGGAGAGAAAAAAAAACAAACCCCAAAAAAGAACAAATAAAAGGTGAGCAAATTTTAGTACTATAGGGTTTATAATAGCCAGCCAGCCACCCAGCTACCAAGGAATGGCTTGCAATGCGACTCTTTCTTGTTCATGACAATACCTGGGACAAAACCTGCACTGGGGAGAAAGATCTCTTTAAAGCTTTCCAGAATTTTAAGTGAAGTGCATCTCTTCTCTTCTCGATTTGGCAGGCTGTTTCTCTCACTGAGCAGTGGCATAGGTACCAGGAACTGCTCTCTAGTTATTTCATTCCAAAGGTAGAATAATTCAGGGCTCTTTGATCTCCAGTCATTCCTCCCCTGGATTTGCCATGTCAGGGGAAGGAGAGGGGAGAAAAAGTCCATGAAGGTTAGTTAAAACACGCCTAGTCATTTTGTTCACCTGAGGACAAGTCAACCAGCATCTTCCCTGGAGTAAGTCACAGCTCCTAGAGCTGCTCCAGAAAGATCCTTATGAGGCCACAAACCACCACTACTGGAGCATTGCACTTTTACAGTTGCTTCAGATCCTGTCTTCTCTACATTCTCCTGACCCACACAACATACTACGTTACCCAGAAAGCACTTTAGCCTTTGTAAATTCTGTAGTCAAGGTGTGCTGCAAAGGACAGATATAGCAGCTTGCAGCTTTTTTCCGCTCCCTGGAGAACCTGTGCTAAGCCAAAGGGGTGCCCTGCCTTGAGCCATCTGTCTTTCTCCTAGCCTCGCCATCCTGTGCCTTCTCTCTCTGTGCAGACTCCTGGCACAGGCAGTGCTTTGCCTAAGAATGAACATACACTGTGAAAAAAAAATGTATCCAAAGGAGAGATCCTTGCAACCAATACCTCTGCACTGTTCAGCTCCAGAGGAACGGGATGGAGAAGGCACACCAAAGCCTTGATATGGAGGTGGATTATATTCACGTGTGTCTGCCAGTTTAGCAGGATCTGCCGTTGACTGGCAGGGGTGACTTTGTCTGTTGCAGGTGCTGTGCCATTACTTTTTGATCTTCTGTACAGCTCATGAGGCCGTCTTCTTCCTTCTCCTACAGATTCCCCAGGTGTTCCTCCAAGTGCCAATGCTCATCATCTTTTCAGAGGGTTCAGCTTCGTTGCCTCTAACTTGGTGCAGGAGCCTGCACAGCAAGATGTGCACAAAATCACCGTCCATCCAATTGTGCAGGTACTGATGCTGATATTACGCTTCACATTTGATGGGCGGATACGTATGTGCATAGTGTATTTAAACCGCCTCACCATTCTCACTGGTATTTCACAGCTACCCAGTGTAGGTAGGAGGTGTTTTCATGCAGCATGTGGAGGTGGAAAATGAGAATTTTTTCCCAAAGGCTTTTATCTTTAAGTTCACGTTCTCCACAGCCTTTACAAAGGAAATAGGAATTGCACCTTATCACAGCTGAAATGAAAGTACTTCTGAATACCTGAAACACTATTCCAGTTGTGCATACAGGGCCGGTAATGAAGTGTTGTTTTTTCAGTGAATGCATGTCATTCTCAACAGTTTTGTCTTGGATTATATGATACAGTCCGTGTTGGCAAAGGGGCTTAGTGAACTACTGCTGAAGGCTCCCACAGACACAGAGCCCAAGCTCCTGGGTGTAAGAGGCCACCGTGTTCCTGTTGCTATTGCACAAGAGCCTGGGTGTAGTCACATAACCCAGAGCAGCTTGACGGGGGAAGGACGCTTGCTAGACACTTGGTTCTTTGCTGCCATTCCCCTACAACATGGTCTCCAGTTGTTGTAATTTAAACCAGAAATAAATTGCTACAAATGGCTCAATACATCAGAGGAACAGTGAATCGGGAGAAAGAACTGGGCTGCTCAAAGATGCCACAAGGAAAAAGTTCCTCTCCTACCCACAGCCAGAGGTATACATGCCTCAGGGAGAGAGCCCCTGCCTGTTGTTTGCATAGGTTTTCATAGTTTTCATCCCTATTTTAATGATTTACAGTGGAATATGTCATATTCTTAAAGATTCTCTTATGCAACAGTAAGTGAAATGTTACCCAAGCAATTACATCCCAGAAATTTTATATGTATTCCTGTGGTTTGCTTTGTAAAAATGTATTGACTGTTAATGTCTTGCATTCTCTTATAATGTCTTATAATTCAGAAGGTTCTGTGTGGACTTTGCTAGTGAGGTTACATTTTCAGACAGAGGATCCTAGAGGATTTTTAGAGCTGCTAGTCGTTTCTTGAGTCCTGGGATGGAATTTGCAGCAAGGCCTCAGATTTGGGTTTCACCATCTAACCAGTCCACCTGCCCAGACATTTTCCAAAGGGCATATGAACTAATGATGCCATAGTTCATTCTATACCCTTCAATAAATAAAATTAGAAATTTTGAAGTATTTTCCTACTATTTTCACTAGTAATATATTTTCTTAAATTAGGTGGTCTTAAAATAGTAACTTTTCTCTCACACAGAAATCATAATTAAACATATCCTGGACAAGACCTCCAGTGGTCTGGAGGCACACCCCATATTGTGGGGTATCTGTTTTGAAGACTGTGAAGCTATTAGTAGTTTATAAGTTATCTGGCCCCTCAGTAATTAGAAATAAGTTTATATTGTCAAGATATGTGCGTTTGTCAGGGGATTTGGGCCCACAGTTTCCTGTGAATTTCTAATAGGATGTGATTGTGTGCATTCCATAAATAGTTTTGAAAATTGGCTTTTTTGCCATTACTTCTACATGGACAACTCCGTCTCACAGACTGGAAAAGGTAAAAAGGGAGGGGGGACACTTGTTTAAGTAAAGAGCTTCAGATTTTTTTAACTGGACTTAGAAAAACTGCTAAGGACAAGAGAGCTCTGTGAAGGAGATGAGATCAAGCACTTCCTTTGTTAAGACGAGGCTAGTCCTTGCTTTTACATAGCCATGTCCTG